CGCCCTTTGCGTACCTTCGTACAGACGTACTTCGACGACATTCTCGTCCATAGCCGTGCCGAGGGAGGCAAGACGGCCATGGAGGTGCATCTAGGACACCTCCGTCGAGTGTTGGACGTGATGCGAGCGAACAAGCTCTACGCCAACATCGACAAGTGCGTTTTCGCGTCACCAGAGATCAAAGTTCTCGGTTGCTTCGTAAGCAACGTGGGCGTTCGGGCTGACCCAGACAAGGTCAAGGCCATAGCAGCATGGCCGACGCCCCGATCCCAGAAGGATCTTCGAAAGTGGTTGGGTTTGGCCAACTACCTTCACAAGTACAGCGCTGGGTACGCGGGCTTCGCTAAGCCCTTGTCGAGCCTCCTTCAGAAGGACGTCGACTGGCGCTGGGAGCAAGAGCACCAGGATGCTTTTGACAGCATCAAGGCCAGTCTCCAAGAGGCCCCTGTCCTGGCTCTGCCGGACGAGACGAAGCCGTTTAGCGTCGTCTGCGATGCCTCCGATTACGCCATCGGGTGTGCATTGCTGCAGGACGACACGGCTGGACAGGAACGAGTCATCTCATTCCAGTCCAGGCAGCTCAAAGCCGCCGAGCGGAACTACCCTGTCCATGACAAGGAGCTCCTGGCAATGAAATATGCCCTTGTGAAGTTCCGTGTTCACCTTCTGGGCTCTACGCCCTTTGTGATCTACACAGACCACGCGTCCTTGAGGACGGCGACTAACTCGCCTCACCTCTCCCAACGGATGGCGAGGTGGCTGTCCTTCTTCGCGGAATATAACTTCCGCGTCGAGTACAAGCCGGGCAAGCTCAACGTACTTGCGGACGCCCTCTCTAGGCGTCCCGACTATGAGTTGGCCCACATCACGCGGGTGACAACGGATCTATATGATCGGATACGCATGGCGTATCGGGACGATGAGGCTGTCGCGCCTATCGTCAAGTTCCTTAAGGCCGGAACGAGCGCGAAGTCCGACTGGCTCTCGTCGCGACAGCGCTCACGGCTCCACCGATATGAGTTGAAGGAGGGCCTCCTCTATTATCGGGTAGAGCCCACTGATCCTCCACGGGTGGTCGTACCCAACGACGAGGATCTGAAGTTCGACATCCTCGCGGAGGCGCATGACGCGCCCTCCAGCGGCCACTTGGGCCGCGAGAAGACCTTTCTGTCGGTCTCTCAGTCCTTCTGGTGGACCCACATGTACAAGTGGGTCGCCCGGTACGTCAAGACATGTGAAACATGTCAGCGGGTTAAACCCGCAGGGCACTCTTCGGCTCCACTACAGAGCCTGCCCGTACCGGCTGATTGTTGGAAGTCGATGAGTCTTGACTTCATCTTTGGGCTTCCCGCCGACGGACACGGCAACACCGGAATTTTGGTGTTCGTGTGTCGGCTGAGCAAGATGGTACATCTTGCTCCAGTTCCCGTCACTGTGACGGGCGAACAAACCGCAAGGTTGTTCGTCGATGGCGTGTTCCGCTATCACGGTCTCCCGGAGACGATTGTCTCGGACCGAGACCCGCGGTTCACTGCTGCGTTTTGGAAAACGCTGTTCCCTTTACTGGGAACTCGTCTGCAGATGTCCACTGCGGATCATCCGCAGACAGACGGCCAAACAGAGCGCGTCAATCGAGTGCTCGAGGACACTCTGCGCAGTGTGTGCGCGGCAGCGCCACGTACGTGGTCGACGCAGCTTCCAGTTGTTGAGTTTGCGCTCAACAACGCGGTGCACGCGTCCACGGGGTTCACGCCGTTCTACTTGAACGGCTTCCGCCACCCCAGAGTGCCTCTCACTCTTCGAGGAAACACTGACTCCTCTATTCTAAGTGGGGGAGAGGCTCGGAAAGCCCTTTCCTCCCAGGTCTCGGATGTGAGGCCAGTTTCGCTGCGGAAACAGGTGGAATCCTTTATGGATACCAAGCTGAACATTGTCAGCAGGGTCCGCGATGCCATGGCAGCGGCCCAAGATAAACAAAAGGAGTACTCGGACAAACAAGGAAGAGGAAACTTAAGTATATTTGAGATTGGTGACTTAGTGTTACTAGACACGAGGAACCTACCTCTAGACACTGTTAGCTCTGTCGGCAGCAACAAGCTGAAGCACCGCTTCATCGGACCTTTTGCAGTCCTGGCCAGACATGTTGCGTCGTACACCATCGACCTTCCAAAGTCAATGACGACGCACCCAACGTTCTATGTCGGACGTCTTAAGCGGTACTTTGATCCGCAGGGGGTTGCTGACTCGCAGACCCCCCTTGACCCAGCTCCTCGAAGCGAGGGCCGGTCACAGTCGTCGACGAGGGCGTCGGAGCAGGCACCCAAGCCTCGGTCGGGACGGCAAGGCTGCGGTCAAGACCGTACGCCGGAGGGGCTCCATACGAACGGACCCCGGCGCCATACGCCGAGTACGCTGAGTACGCCGGGTACGCACCATACGCGTACGTCTGGGAGTGTGCCGCAGGCGGCTCCGGACGTGGCAACAAAGCCTCGATCCGTCGGATCATGCGAAAGGCCTCGTCCAGATCGGACGAAGAGGCCCGGCGGTCCACCCGCAGGTGCAGGCTCGCGACCTCTCGCTCCACCAGGTCCAGGCGACCCGCAAGACGAGCGAGCTCGCCCTGATTCCCGGCCTGGGCGGCAGCATTACCGCCAGTCCCAAGGCCAAGTGCAATCTCAAGCACGAGGAGACGTTGACGGAGGCGGTCAACCTCAGGGTCCCGTGTCGGACCCGCAGTTGGAGCACTCGAACGAGAGTGGCTCTCGGGAGGCGCCGAGTACTCGTACTCGTACGAGGGCACCTCCGCCCCTGCTTGACCGGAATGGAGAAGTCCACTTCCACGTGGAGCGGATACCTCCAGGAGCAACGGTGTCGCGGGAAGCGACAGCTCCTCGTGAAGTGGAGGGGTTATGCCCACTCCGAGAACTCGTGGGAGCCGATTGAACGGCTCCTGATTGACTGCCCGAAGGCTGTCGCAATCTGGGAACAGAAGCGGCGGCAGCTTCATAAGTAGTCCGGGGCTTCTTGCCCGAACGGGGTGCGGATGATGAATACATACCGTACCCGCGCTCATCGTGAGCGCTAGAAGCCGCGCGCTTCAGGATGTCCCTTGGCAGCATACGCTTGCTGATCAAGTGGGCAAACCTCACACGAAGATCACGCTGGTCCAGGATGTGGGACAGCTGCTGATCTTCATGGAGTTCCCATAACTCCGTGGGCGAGTACTTGAGAGTCTCCACCCACGCCCAGAACATGTCCTCACAAGAACTCCATGTGGGACAGTTCTCGGGCATAACCCAGGGGTATCCCCAAACAGGATAGAGACCACCCCGGGTCTCGGGCTTCTTACGACAAGTCGTGAAGTCCTTAAGGGGAATGCGGTGTGGCGCGAGAAGCACACACCGAGCAGCCTCCACGTTGTCGACGAACAACTGTTCTTTTTGAACAAGGGCTCGTTCATAGATGCCCCTAAAAGTGTGGCCGCCCACAAGGCCACGAGGAGCGACGAGAAGCTCTAAGAAGAGGTCAGCCCCAGAGCTCTCCTCGGGAGGCCAATACCCTCTTGAGTTGATGGCAGCTCCCTGGCTGACGGGTGCCGCCACCGAACCCCCACGCACACGCTGGGCAGCTTGGAAATCCTCCTGCTGCTGGTCGAGGTCATTCGAGACCTCCCAGGGCTCAACAATGGCACCCTCCTCCTCCTCTTCTTCCTCCTTCTCCTCCTCTTCATCCGAGGAGCCGAAGAGACTCTGATAGGAGCGTCGAGTCTCCTTCTCCTCGCGGAGTGGAGACTTAGAGGCGGTACGCTTCTTTGAGGGCTTGGCGCCTTCGGCTTTAGAGGCCTTAGCGCGCGCAAGACCCTCGGCAAGCGAGAGACGTTTGCGAGGACTCCCTTCCTCATCGCCACCGGCTTTGGGAGTGCCCTTAGCCTTAACGGCCGGACTCTCAGAGCGCACAGAGGTCCTGGGACTGTGATCACCGTGATCACTAGCGGACGACTGCACGCTGTCTTCTTTGTGCTCACTGGGCACTGGGCTGTGCCCTCCCACAGAGCCCGCAGGAGCATCATGAGTGCTCTCGGACTCGGCATCGTCCTCACTGCCCGAGTTGAACTCACGTTCTACGAACCGAGGGTTCGGACGATTGTCTGAAGACGAGGGCGACGGACTGCGGCGCCTGCTTGCGCGCTTGTCCGCAGCCGCGTCACCCGAGGATCCGATCGCCTCGGAGGCCACCTGAGTAGCCTCCTTAAGTGCAGAGCCTTTGCCGTGAGGCTTAGTGCTCTTGGCCTGCGCCTTACCGGCTGCAGCCTTGGAGCGTGTCTTAGCACCGCTCTTAGCAGTGCCACGAGGCATGTTAACGGTCGAAGTGGAGACCTTGACGAAGAGCGCACAGGCTGCTGCTCGAGGCTTTAACTGTAAAGTGAGCCTCCGCCGCGCTCGCGCGGCCGAGTCGATGGTTTTCGACTTTGAGAATGAGAGTTTGTGACGAACATCTCTTCATTCTGATTGGTCGGTAAACCGAACCTAAGTGGGGGAGGATGTAACGGGGTACGTAGCACTAAGTGTACCCTGGTTACATGAAGTGTGACACTTCACACTTCAGGAGTATGACATGTCATACTCCGGGATATTTGGTACAAGGTACCAAGGTCATTCAAAACCAACCATTGGTTAAATGACATTGCATTTCTATAGGTAACTGATAGTTTGTATTAACCTCAAACTTAACCTACCTATAAATATACTCAGTTTACAATCTACCTTATTTAGGTCACTTCGCTCTCTTTAATTAAAGAGGGGACCTGTGAACTGCCGTTCACTGAGAGTTTGTATACTCTCGGAAGATAACTTCCTCTAGCGCAAGGTGCTGTGTGACCCCGTCACAGAATTGGTGGTTACTTTTTAAGACTTCATCATTGGATAAAATCACATTAATCTTGCAATCTAATTGGTGGATTGGCTGAGTACAGTTCTTCATGGACGATGCATGGTAGGAATCTTGCGGATATTATACCATGCCATGAACATTCCATTGGCATGTGCTACTGTGGTGTAGAGCAGATTTGATGACCATACTCTCTGGAGGCCAGTGTTGGGGTTCTTTGAAACGCACTCTAACTTCACTGCCACCACCCTAAGATCCAACACCATTTCCAACGTCGCGAGGGACGGAGGAAACGAGGTAAAAGCCTTGAGCTTTGACATGATAAATGGGTTTTATTACGTTAGGGTCTTGCTACAATTGTTTTATCTCTCGACGCTCTAATCAAGCTCTAGCCAACCTTGTTAGGGTTTGCGTGAGGCGCCTTTAGCAATGCCGGTGCGTGTGGGGGCACGAGCAAACGGCGAAGATCTTCCGACGAGGCCTGCGTGGTGTCACCATGCGTCTCCCAGACACGAGACGCGATCAGTAAGCTCGAAATGGCGCCACCACTGCCTGGGTTCGACGATAAGACCGACAAGAACCTTGCTGCGTACTGCTTGGTCGTGTTACTCTCACCCATCTTGGACTTTGGAACGAGCGTGGACAGCAAGTTGAGTAGCGCTGCTGCCAGTTGTGAGCTCACGGCAGCCTTGGCAAACTCCGTGGCTGCCTGTGTGTGTCGCTTGAGGGGAATCATGTGCAAACAGAGCAGCAGCTGCATCTCTGTCGAGTCCCCGAGCCACACGTGCGGCAATAAGTTCGACAGACTCGCAGGGTCCATTCCCTTGACCAAATTGTCGATGCAGGCAGGAATTAGACATAGATTGCCGAGCAACTGCAGCGTCACACGAGCCAACTGACCCTCCGTCGAAGCTTCAGTGCGAGCGAGATTCTTGTACACCACCTGGAACGCGCTCTTGATAAACGGAGGGACCACAGTAGCCAGAGGGTCCACACACTTGCCACTGAACGAGAGCATGTGCACGCACTCCATGCAACGAAGCAGCAACAGTGGAGCATTCGCGAAGGAGAAACCTTGCGGTTGAGTCTCGTGGTCCAGCACGAATAGCAGGGTCAGCAGTCCATCTGCCTGCACAACTTGCACGTCCATATCGGGTGTGTACTGCAGTAAATTCCTGATAGCTGTAGCAATAGGAAGCAAACGTTGAAGCAGCACACTCTCCAGTGACTGAGGCTGCGCACGAACGCCCGAGATGTCGTAGGATAGCGCTGCCAACAGACCGTGCATCACATGTCCGCTAACTGTTCGGTTCTCCAGCTCGGCGGCGGCGGCAGCAGCAGCCTGGATCTCCTTCTTCGTGGTCGGCTTCGCCCTGAACATATCCACACGACTTCCATTGCTATTCACAGTTCCAGCAATCTGCGCGAGGATCCCATCCTTCGGGTTCTCATTGAAGAAGTTCACATAGATACCAGCCACACACAGCTCTTCTTTTTGTGCTGTGTACATGACGTAGCGCGGCAGCTCAAACACCTTGTGCACTTCCTCGTCGCTTTGATCCAGAGTTGTATGGAACTGGATGGCACGTTGAGCGAGACTGATCAACTCCTTCCGCATACGCTCAGTCCACATCACGTGAGGTTCTCGCACTTCAGTGGCCAGCACATCCAGCATTTTAAGCGGTCCCGCTCGGCGTAAGATGTCCACCAGTGGACGCGTAAACACTTGTTCGATTGTAGTCTGCATCCGCTTGACAAACACTGCGATCGATTCCTCCCTCGCGCTGGCTTCCAGGATCCTACCCAGCGCTTTTGCTGCTCCAATGCTGATACGTTGCATATCTCCATCGCTATCGTCATTGTTTGGCTGGTAGTGGAACAACAGGAGCGCCAAATACCACAAGATTCCATGCTCTGCCAGCTGCAGCAACAACACTTCCGCCATTTCTCCGGAGCTTCCAGCCATCTCGTACACGATCTGAAGCGACAGATCCGTCGCCAGCCGGTCGCCTTCTTGCGAGAGGAAACGTGTTAAGCACGGCAACAAGTCAATTGACTGTGCAGCTGCCGACACACGTCCATTGGGCTGATTCAAAACGTTCACGAGAGCTTCTAACACCCAGTGCGTCATCACGTTTGGCGCGCATCCATCGACAGAGCTGAGTGCTTCCTGGTTGTGGAAGAGCAACTGAAGCGAGTTGCAAAGCACGCGGAGTCCCAGGCCTGAGCTGCACTGATGCGCATTCTCGTCCGAGATCCCGACAGCCAAATTGATCACTCGAATGGCACTCCCAAAGGCCCTCACGAAGGTGGTTTTTGTCGTGATGGCGTTGGATACGTCGAAAAACGTCTTTGTCGGGCCGACGCGGTTGTCTTTGAGCTCCGTCGTACACCGCTCCAGAGCTTCCAGGATATACGAAAAGTTCTCCAAGACCGTGATAGTTGGCGAGTCCGGGAACCGACGTAGCAGCAACGCCGTGGCGTCCAGCAATTCAACTGCATCGGACACGGACAGGAGCTTTGTAGATTGGTCTTCACTAGCCTGAGCCCCACGAGCAGTTAGCAACAGTCCAGGATGCACCCAGCGCCGAATCGAGTCCAGTAAAGCGTGCAAGAATGCAGCTTCGTCGTTGATTGGCCATCCCGGGAAGTTTTTCTCATCAAGAAGGTTGTGTAGATAATACTGATAGCATTGCAGCGCGTGGACTTCCTTCGGGTACTGGATCAACGCAATGCAAGCCTTGTGCTCCGAGCCCTCGTTCTCCGTGATGTAGAACATGCCGTTGTCATCGGTGTGAAGCTCCATGAACTTCTCAATGTACGACACCATCTGGCTGCGCATATTCGCATTCCAGACCACTTCCGGGTTGTTAGCGTCCGAGAACAGAGCGGTAGCAAATCGTCGAGGTCCATGACGTAACAGCTGAGCCACCATCGACACGGGCAGCACTCGCACTAGCCAGCTCCTCAAGCAGATTCGTGTCAATGGATCTGGAGAGAAGACGCCTTTTTTGTTCTCTCCTTTTTGCTTGTCGTCGATCAGATGCGGAACGTCGAGGCCGGATTGGCGCAGATGGATGTGAGAGATAAGCCGCGCTGCGATCGACATTTCGTCCACGTCTTGAGAGAAACGAAGCAAGTAGTAAAATATGCCGGACGCATGAAGGTTCGGGATGATGGCCTCGTTGTGTCGAACGAGCAAGCGAATCAAGCCCAGACACTTCTTGAACACTATGCGATTCGGACAGTCCAGAAGTGCCACCAAAAACCGCAGAGTCTGATCTTCGCACAGTCGACGCTTGATGGAGCTGATGGGACTCACACCCGAGCCTTCAAAGTGCGTGAGTCGCCCATACTTCGGGAAACGAATGTCCTGATACATGTGTCCTTCTTCTTCCGCGGTGTGGCAATCAATGAGACGACTGAGCACGCTCAAACACGTCTGCATAATCATCGAGCCACTCATCGCACCGCAATGTTCGGCTACGACAGTCACACGACTAGGTTCCTCCTCGTGTACGCTTTCATCGTCTCGATGTGCGTAGGTTGGCGATACAGAGTGACTCGAGATAATAGAGCTCTCTGCACCAGACTCTTCCAGAGCATCGATCGTTCTCCTAGCGATATCCCTGTCGCTGTCATAATCTTCATCGCTCTCGTCGTACTCGCCCCTGTCGTCGTAGTCATCGTCGCCATCATCGACGTTATCGTTCTCTTCTTCCGACGCATCCAACTCTGCTTGAACGTCAGCTGCAGGCTCTACAATGTACTCCTTCTCCGCATCATTAGGCCCTTGAAGGACAACCAGCGGCTTCACTTCACGCAGCAAGTCCAACACCATTGTCACATTGTCTCCTTCACGCAAAAAGCGCGAGATGTTCAACGCGCTCGAGAGAACACGATCCAGGAACAACATGATGTTGCCACGCACAACCAGCGGCCAGCGTCGATCCTCGCCGTCTTTACTGATCATCATGCTTACTCGTAGAAAGTGGTTGAGGAAGACTAGCGACCCCAACTCGTTGAAGTGACGTTCGTAAAGCTGGATCATAACCTTCAACACCAGCAGACGAATGTCGGACTGGTCAACGTCATTAAGCGAATCTGCCGATGGATAGCGTTCTCCGTTCTGAAGCTTCTTTGTCGAAATGCTCCGGTCTTCAGCTAGCAGACGGTAATACAATAGCGTCATGAACTTCTCCGCACCTTCAATTTCTTCCACCAACACACCGCGATCGTCCAAAATGTTAGCGAGATAATACGGACCGACCTTCACCTCGCTCTCCAGACACTCGTAGTCGATAGAGAATTCGTTGCAGTTCCATGCCACGAACCACCGCGGCATGTTCTTGGCGCTTTTCTTTTTCTTCTTCGCCAACGCAGCGTTGCGAAAGTCCTCGTGTTGATCACTCGGTTTAGTGTCTGAGCTATCGCCAGGACGCATGATGCTGTTGGAGCGGGAGACAAGCCCGTTCTCGTCCGTGTAGTTATCATCGCTGTCATAGTTGTCGTCGTCTAGTCCGCCGTCACTCTCGAGGTCATCGGACGTGTCGGGCTTTAGCAGGAACGACAGCGGCATGAACCTGGCGAATCGATTGGACGAGGAGATCGTCCCCTTCATCATTTCGATCGCAAGTCGACTTTCGGAGCCATGCTGCAAGAACTCGAAGAGAAACGGAGCGAAGTTTGCGTGTTGCGGGTCGTGGCGAAGTCTGTTTGCTTGATACGCGTCCCATTCGGTCTCTGTATGGTCCGTTGCTAGCGGATCTGTGTAGAGATACCCCAGATACTTCAGTCGATACATGTCCAGCTCACTCATCTCTGTCTGGAGTTTTCGAATCAGCTCTTCCACAGCGTTGGGACCCCACACATGATCCTTCGTCGCGTAGGTTTTACTCAGTCGGTCAAAGAACTCGGGCAAGAGCACAGCATGCTTCACATTTCGCGCCAAGCGAGCGCGTGTGTTGATCCCGTAGCTCACTTTGCTACGTCCACTTTCCGTTGCATTGGTCATGTCGCGGCGATTCCCATTCTTGTGCGAGTTCCCATGGCCTTTAGCATGCAACTCGGGATTTGCAGTCGGTAGATGCCTTCCAAACTCGTCGTACTCCAGTTTGTTGGTCTTCTGGTCGTCCAGTAACGCGTGCGGAAAGATATTCCGGATAATGTACGACGAGCGCGGGTTCTCGTGGGTGAGTAGCGCCACCAACTGGGACGAGATTCGACGCTGAGCCTTGTCTTGGGTATACAGCGCCAAGTAAAGCTGCCACACAAGAGCTCCGTGCTTCCTTGCGAAGTCTTGAATTAGCTCCACAAGCTCAGTAGGCTGCTCCAAGATGTGTACTTTAACCAGAATCGAAGAGCACTTTGTGACCGAGAAACTCAGCGATCGATTGAATAAAAACAGCGCATGATGGCGAGAAAAATCGTCCACTCTCATTGCTCGAAGGAGATCTCTTGCCACTCGCTCGGGAGTCGCCTTCTTCCCACTGGACAAGCAAACCTCGAGCGTTTGTAGCACCATGACCAGGACCAGATAGTCCAATCCCAGTTGAGAATACGCCAGCGCATTCGCCATACTCCGTTCAGTGTTAGACATTGCCGCAACAGATGGGAAGCCGTGGTTTGATCCCGATTTTACCGACGTGGTGGAGTGCAGCGGTACACGACCCACTCGATTGGTCCTCGATAGATCGAACGCACGAGACACGTACATCCTGCTATGATACTTGGTAAATATTGCTCGACGATTGGCCGTTTCGGACTTCAAGCTGCGAGTTTCCGAGTAGTTCACCACCATATACTTGATCACACACGCTGCTGCGAAGCTCACTTCTTCCATGGGGGAATGAAGCAGCTCCATGATCACTTCGATGCTGTTTTTGTACTGCGAGCTCGGAATCTCCTCAAAGACTCCACGCGTGCACAGAAGACGCTGAATTGCCAGCAACAACTCCACTTGGAACTCTGTTGTCGGGATAGGTGCGTCAGTGTTGGACGGACTATTGAGTTGGGCCACAGAATACTCCTTGAAGTTCTCCAGCACCTTCATCAGACTCGCGAAAGCACGACGGTCACGTTGACGCAGACCTCCCAACGGAATGTTGCGGTTAAACTGGACCAGTTGATGGCTAATGAGCGACATGCTGTCGTTCGTCACGAGATTCGGGATGAAATTCAAGTTGACCAACTTCCGTAGCAAGATATCTTCCCATTCAGGATGCACTTCAGTGCCCCACGTTCCTTCCTTGCATGCAATCTTCGTCTCCTCCGTTGACCACGGCACATGCAGCTTGTTCATACGGCACATCTCGATCATGTTGCTCAGGAACAGACTCCGAGCCTCCTTCGGACTCAGCAGCGACGTCGATCCTGCCACATTCAGCCACTCCGGAACGTCGATATCTCCTGCGATGTCTCCGATCAGCTGACGAAGCTCCTTCTCATGCTGCGAGGACACCCGCGCCAGCCCAAGACTCACCTCCTTGTCACGTCGACTCACTGTGGAGCTTAGACAAATGTACCGTCGCGTCAATCCGTGCTTCAATTCCAGCGCGAACTTGCCACTCAAACCCTCGGAAGACTCATTGTCAGGGTCATCTTGAGACGACGACACGGACGGATACATCACCACGTTAAAGATGTCGTTCAAAGAGTGACTTGCCAGGGTTTTCCGCGTTACAGGGTCTCGTTCAATGATCGCCAGAGCCGTGAGACCAAGCAGGCGTAGCTGTAGCTTGTCCGACTTGTTCTTGCTGATCTTTAGCACCGGCATCTCGAATGTCACTGGTTGCGGGATATCCCGCGTCGAAGTTAGCGCGTCAAACTCGCAAGAGTCCGAAACTTCCTCCACGAACAGCGACACGCTGAGCCAGGAGCGCAAATTGTTGGCTATTGCCTGGATAAACGGCTCTCGACTGTCACACCAGTACCGATGCACTCGGTTGTTCTCAAAGTAGAGCACCAGTTCGTTCGAGTTTGTGTTAACGCGCTGGATCTTGACGATATCAATCAGTAGAATTGACGACAACGTGGTGCGTGTCTGTGGATCCAGACGGTCCAAGCTGGCGGCTCGTACAGCCAGCAGCACCTCCACTTTAACCGGATGGATGGCGATACTCCGCGTTGTACTGAGTTTCGTCATGGTAAAAGTCTTTCCGCAGAGTTGAAACAAACTGTCGAAATACATGCCGCTGCCGAGCAAGTTCGAGTTGCTGCCTCCAGGTCCTCCCGAGCCTGAGGCCCAGCTGTTGTCGCTTGTGCCTACACTGGCGCCCACTGCACTCAAAGCATCGGCAGTGGCAGCTTCGATCTCGTCTTTTCTAAAGGAAGAAGCGCGTTCTCTTAGCTGATAGTAAGCGGACAGCAGCTGCTGTCTGCATCTGCATGTGTACGTTTCCTTGAGGTTTTTACCAATGAAGATGGTGAAGGCGCGGTCGCCGTTGTGTCCGCCACTGTCTGAGGCGATAGTGATCTCCTTAATGTTGTCAAAGGCGTAACGCTCCTTCACTTCGTCTGAGTATGGGTCTACAATAGTCAAGTGGTTGCTGCTGAGCACCAACAGCCTCTTGGCGGAGCGTAGGAAACCCACGCGGGTCACAAAGAAACGTGCTGCATATATGACGCCAGCGTAGCGGTTCACTGGCACTTCGATGCCCTCCATGTCGTCCTCGTCATCGTCGTTGTCCGCTGCGCCGCTTGGGGTCGGTAGAGCTCCGTAGAAGGAGCTGGCGCGTGGCTCCACCTCGAAACCCGTAGTCTCCGGCCCACGCGGAACAAAGCGCTCGTCCAGAGACACGGCATCGTGTCCGAAAGCTACTGGATCCAGCTTCTGCTTAAGCTGCTGCAGCTCCGCGTCGCCGCTGTCGTCGCCGCGGGGCAGCGCCATGGATGCGGACTTGAAGGGGGAATGGGCTTTGCTAACTATCTGATTTTCTTCTAGACGTCAGTAATCGGAGTGGTTGGGGTGATAATTCAGGGTGGGGAGATGATGATTGGAAGAATACATGGAGATATTCCGTTAGATTGCGAGACTTAATAATCATAGTGGGTAGGGGATTTCCGATCTTTTGTTGGATTGGTTGAAGATTAAAAATGAAGTGTCGGTTAACTACCAATCATCTGGTAAGTCGTGCCAGCCATCCGTTCCATAATCTAGCCGTTGCCGACGATCGTTTGACCAGCTCATTTCAGGTTTCGCTCACAACAGACCATGACGCTGTATTTCGCATATATTGCTGTCTCCAATGACCGCGTAAGCCAGTGACGATTTTGCACCAAACGGACCAATTCATGTCGATTGCAACTTTTTCGGGTACCAGCTGAGGCTTCGCTTTAATTCTACGTGTTTGACGTCGTGCTCTGCTCGTCCAGAGCAGGTGTGAGCGCGACTGTGTGAATAGGACTTCTGTAGATTGAGGCTGGGTCGGTGGCTCTCTGCTGATGCTTTTCAAACAAGCGTATGTCTGACTTGTATGAGGACAACCTGTTTCTCTGAAGAATACACCACCCCCGCTGTAGGAAATTAGACGCATCAACTTAGACAGGAATAGTGTAAATTTGCTGCATGGATCGAGTGATGATCGTTTATCTGGTTACGGACCTCGCACTAGTGTGAGCTGACGAAACACAAACATAAAGACTACGATGATCTGACGAATTCCTTGCAACAACTGAAGCTCTCTCCATGGTGAGGCCGTGTCTATATGATTACAGCGTCTCGCTGTTTGGCACGTACAACTTGCCTTTCGTACTTAATGTGAAGAAATCGCTCATACACATAATCGGTATTGTTAGATCGCGATGGTCGTGAAGGTGGGCGTGGCCGACCCGGAGCTCACGTCCGTGGCGCTGTACACGCCGTTGCCATGGCCCATGCGGCTCGATCTGTTGCCATTCACCTTCCTATACGTTACCGCCGTGTATCTGTACGCAATACGCCCCGATGACGACGTGGTCCCGTGGGTTTTCGGCGCATTCGGCGTCTTCTGGCACGCTCTAGCGCTGCTGAGTGCTGAGTGGAGCGTGGACGTGCGTTGCTGGATGACGTGTACAAAGCTAACGGCTGTAGTGGAGGATGAGCGCCTCAAGATGCTCGTTAAAGTGGAGCCGTCTCTCGCTATGCTGCCCAAGGAGCTCTGTGACTGCCAGTTGGTGTCCACGGACAAAATGAAGGACACCAAGAGGCCGACGCTCTGGTTCTCGTTCCAGAACCTCAAGTTCTGTTTGTACGAAGACGTGGAGACCATCAATCGCAGCGGTGAGGCTCAGTTCCGTCGTCTGGACTTCCCCTCCAAAGGCAGTCTCGAGTTCTATCTGAAGAGCGAAGGTGTGAAGTCCAAGGAGGAGCTGCAACAGGCCAAACACAAGTGGGGCAGGAACGACTTTGAACTGCCCGTGCCCAAGTTCGCTGAGCTACTCAAAGAGCAGCTCGTGGCTCCGTTCTTCGTGTTCCAGTTCTTCTGCATGTTGCTCTGGTGTCTCGATGAGTACATGTACTACTCGCTTATGACGCTTCTCATGCTCGTCATCTTCGAGTGCACAGTCGTCAAGCAACGCCAGCAAAACATGAGCACTCTGCTGCACATGCGACGTGCTCCTCAGCCGTGTCTCGTCTATCGACAGAGTAAGTGGACTCAGGTCTCAAGCGACGACCTGGTTCCCGGTGACATCTGCTCTGTTGGCCACAATGAGCGCGACACTGTCGTCCCGTGCGACTTGCTACTGCTGCGCGGGAACTGCGTCGTCAACGAGTCCATGCTGTCTGGTGAGTCCCTCCCATTGCGCAAAGAAGCTGTCGGGGCTTCCATCGTGAATGACGAGGCAAAGCTGAAGAATCTTGAGGTTGATGACGGCTCGAGTATGAAACACAAACGCCACGTTCTTTATGGAGGCACCAAGGTTCTTCAGCACTCGAGTCCCTCTTCCAAGGACTCGCTGCGAGTGTCTACTGCTCCCGACGGAGGCTGCGTGGGATTCGTGCTTAGGACTGGATTCGGCACGACTCAAGGCAGTTTGATGCGCACGATTCTGTACTCGTCGCAACGTGTCACTGCGAACAACTCGGAAGCGATGTGGTTTATCGCTCTGCTGCTGAACTTTGCCGTGGCTGCAGCCGCCTTCGTGCTCTCTCAAGGCATCAACGACCCGACGCGCAACCAGTTCAAGCTCTTCCTGCACTGCATTATGATTATCACGTCAGTCGTGCCGCCCGAATTGCCCATGGAATTGTCGTTAGCGGTGACCAACTCACTGATCGCTTTGACACGGAGTAATATCTTCTGCACCGAGCCATTTCGCATCCCTTTCGCTGGTCGAATCGATGTCTGCTGCTTCGACAAGACTGGTACACTAACCAGTGACGAGCTGAAGCTGCATGGCGTTGCAGGGCTGGAAGCCCACGTGGAGCCTGACAAGTACAGAGGGAAACGTGGTGGAGAGCTCGACATCATCGCCCCTGAGCAGCTTCCTCTCGATACGGAGCTGGTTCTAGCAGGATGCCAGTCATTAGTCTTGCTGAATGGCCAAGTAGCTGGCGATCCGCTTGAGATGACTGCTGTTCGGAGCATTAATTGGTGCTTGACAGGCCACGAAGGCAGAGCGGAGAGCCTTCCGAGCGTCCAGCCATCGTTTTACTCGGATCGTCGAGGTGAAATCCAGGCGGTTGACATCCTCCACAGCTTTGCTTTCTCCTCCGAGCTCAAGCGCATGACTACCGTCGTGTGTGTGCGGAAAGCTGACAATGACGAGCAAGACGAGCAACGTGTGCTTACGAAAGGCGCGCCTGAGGTACTCGAGTCCATCTTTATCAACAAACCTTCGTATTATCGCCGTGTGTACCGCCATTACGCGTCTAAAGGATGCCGCGTCTTGGCTTTAGGCTTCCGAGTACTGGCTGGAGAGGCTTCAGCGGGTGAACTGCGTCGCAAACCGCGTGACGAACTGGAGAGTGAGCTGACATTTGCGGGTTTCCTGGTGCTTGATTGCCCACTGAAGGACGACACAAAGCGGACTATCCGGGAGCTGATGATCTCCAAGCACAAGGTTACTATGGTTACGGGGGATAACCCTCTCACAGCGTGTGATGTAGCGCGTCAAGTGGGGATCAACGCGGGGTATTCGAGGCAGCCGCTAGTGTTGACGCCTAATGCGGAGTCTGGATCTGTGGAGTGGAAGTCAATCGACGACGGCTCGCCAGATATCGAGGAGGAAACGATCCTTTTCAACGTGGATGAGGTGGAGAAAATGCAGATCCAGTATGATCTGTGTGTAACGGGAGAAGCTCTGGCAACGCTTTACAAGCAGCAAGAGGATAAGTGCGACGACAAGGCGGCTGCTCTGGAAGGTTTCCTTTCTGTGCTTGAGAAGATGTGTCTGTGCGCCACGGTGTTTGCTCGCACGTCACCTCAGCAGAAGGAACATCTCATCATGGCAATGAATCGGTGTGGAAAGACGACAGCCATGTGCGGAGACGGCACGAACGATGTGGGTGCCTTGAAGCAAGCGCACATTGGTATCTCAATCGTGAACTCGTCCAGCACGGAGACTACGCCTCATGTTGTGGAGTCTGGAAGAGGCTCTGGTAGTGCAGGTCAGGGCGGTCTTCGGAATCGACGACAAGCTGGACGTAGAGGACGTTCGGTGGAAGAGCTGCAGCAGTCTTTGTCAAGCAATGATGAGGCTCAGATTGTGCGACTAGGAGACGCCTCCATTGCATCGCCGTTTACATCGAAGAGCTCAAGTATCCGTGTGATCAAGAAGCTGATTCGCCAGGGACGATGCACACTGGCCACTACCATCCAGATGTACAAGATCCTGGGAATCAATTGTCTTATCACGGCCTATTACTTGAGCTCTCTCTTCATCCATGGAGTCAAGAACGGTGATCAACAGCTCACTATATCGGGGGTACGTGTGCTTGTTGTATGTGACCCTGAACTAGCACTAACAAAGGCTTGAATGTTGTGTGCAGCTGTCGATCGCCATGTTCTTTCTGTTTCTATCACGAGCAAAACCCGCGCGTAAGCTCTCACACCAGCGTCCTCCGTCCGGGGTGTTCTGCATGTCAGTGATGGTGTCAATCTTTGGCCAGTTTGTGATTCATCTGGCTTTCCTGGCCGCTGCTCTCCACGTCGCCCAACCTTTTATCGAGCCGGGGGACCCAGGGATGCATCCGGATGGGAATTTCACCCCGAATGTGGTCAACAGCATCATGTTCCTCATGGCGTCGATCATGCAAGTGAACACCTTCGTGGCCAACTACAGGGGACAACCGTTTATGGAAGGATTCTGGGAGAATAAGCTGTTTTGTCGCAGCGCGCTTGTCAATTACGCTGTGCTGGCTGCGATTATCGCAGAGGTTTTCACGCCTATCAACGCTATGCTGGAGCTGGTGGCGATGCCGAACCAAGAGGTACGTCCTGCTGGTGTTCGCCGGTAGTTGGAACACTTGGATACTGACTGACAAGGATTTATGATTTCAGACGCAACTCGTCGTTGCAGCTCTAATGGCAGGTGATACGATCGTGACTTTGGCATTCGAGTATGCCGTTCAGATGATAGTTTTCGTTTCGGCATAACTTTGAACACGCTCTGCCACCAAAGTAGAACGTTTGCAGTTTTTCTGTCATCTTGAATTGTACAGTCCATTTTCATTGCATTGTGGTAGTTTCCGCTTTGCTGGGAATGCTACACCTTTGCCAGGCCAAGATGGTGCTACTCCACTTCAAACCGGATTTTTTTAAAAAAAATGAAAACAAAAATTTGATTACGAAAAAGTAGCACTAAAAAGGAAATTCAAAGTGGCGAAAACGCAGAGCAAAGTGGTCCGAGCTGCAGCTAGGTGCCGTACTGCATGTCTTCCATGCGCTCCGCGGCAGCAACGGAATGCTGGCAATGCAGTGTCAACCTGTTAGCAAGGTGCGTGTCGATACATCCGATGCGGCGTCTCGCCGCGCGTTCCAGTTTCTCCATCCGAGCAGCCGCAACCGTCCCGCGAGGATGCTCCACAACCAGCCCTTTACGGGGCAAGGCAAGGTCGGCCTTGATCTTGGCCTTAAAAGCACTAAAACACCCTGTAGCACCAGTTCAAAAGTCGGTTAGTATGCCATTTAAAAAAATATTGTAATACAGTATACTGCGTACCTTGAATGGGGTTATATTGAAGAGTACGGAGCCAGCCGTACAAGTACCAAGTCGGCTCGTTCAGCGACGTGTGCTTCCGTTTGCTTCCACAAATCGACGTGATGTGGTGGCGGGGATTCCGTTGTGGGCGGCCACAAGCGTCCAGTCACCGCCGACACGGAGGCAGTCGAGGACACGAGCTCTGGCAAATGCGAGGTGCGGGGCTCTGGGCATCTTGGGGTAGGTAGAGGCTTGGCTTGGTTGAGGGCTTGGTAAAAGATTGATAAGAGAGAGCGAGGAATGGCAATGAAGTGCTCGCGCACACGCTCAGGAGGGTTGATCCGCTTTGAACTGCGAATAAACCACTTTGAAGTACGGAGTGCGTTTACTCGACATATTTGTGAAGTGACATAAACTCTAATGTAAAAATTGAGAATAATTTTTAAAAAGGTTTAGTTACTTCACCACTTTGAAGTGGAGTAGCACCATCTTGACCTGGCAAAGGTGTAGTGTGCTATTGCTTGCAAGTTTAGAAGTGAGCTTCCTTTGGCTAGACTCCTATCGCTGTGTTCACTAGACTACCTACTCGTATTGTAGCCAACCGTCTTGAAACAGCCTTGAGCGTCGAGCACCAATAATGCAGTAGCTGCAACTTGATAGGCATGATGTCCTTCGAGATGGTGTTCTTGATTCCAGATAGTCTGCATGCCATTACTGCATGCCACGCAAATACCTACACTGCCCTCCAAGAACACCATGCCACCGCAGCTGAAATATGTAGAAATGAATAAAGGAAATTTCGCCGCACGATTGGAATCCATGGATACAATCCAGTCACCATCTGATAGAAATCAGTCACGTATCCAAAATCGACAGTCCACCCATGAGACGGGACCACTGTTACCGGTCAAGTTGCACTTCAACACGTTGCAGTTGCCCCATATTTCGGCCCACACGCATCCTTAAGTGCTGATACTTTGCTGAATTGAAGAAACAGCTTGTGCAAGCTCATTGTCACCAGTTTCAGCGACGTATGCGGCCGCACGGTCCGGTAAATCACCAAATAGTGACTGCAACGGCTCTCAAGAGTCCTCCTCGTCCTGTAAGCCAGCCCAGGATACGAGTAGCTGCCAGGATTGCTGGAATTTGCGATGCTTCTTAATCTTTTCGACGCCAAGAACCATTCCTTGGTTTCCGACGTGTGCAAGTAGCGCTTCACTGATTCCAAGATTGCCGTCGCGGTAGAACTTCAAGCGGGATCCATGCACCATATAGCGCTGGTTATTTAGCAAGTGGCGGATCATGTATGAGTGTGGGTGCTCCTCCACAACTTCAAATGGGCCCACCCAGCGAGCCAACAGCTTGTTGACTGAAAGTCGAGAGTCAATTCGAGACCAACAACACAAAATCGCCGGTAGTGAAGTTGCATGGCACTCCATTAGAGCGGTTCATATTCTGCAGGCGGCGACGCTCGCGAATGTCTTCTACCCCCTGTGCATCTCTTGGAGGCTGTGCTGCATTTTCTCCACCATATCCGTAGGAATATCCGCGGGCTCGGTAATTACCACGGTCTTGCCATTGCGCTCAGCTAGCACTGCCTCAAAAGGCGAGGGTCGAGGCAATGCAGTGAAGAGTTCACCGGGCGATCTGTTGCCTAGTGATGCTACAGGAGTGTGGTTGAGGATACCTTGTACTGTTGGCACAAGGTACTCCCACTCATGTATGTCCAACTTCATCTCCATCAGTAAAACTCGTAGGACCTGGAGAATATCGCGATTGAGGCGCTCAATAGTGCCGTTGATCCATGGTGCATATGCTAAAACGAGATCTTGTTCAATGCCAAGTTGTCTGCACAACAGTCGTACAACTTCGTTCTTGAAGTGACTTCCTTGATCCGAAATTAGAATCTGTGGTGGGCCGAAAAACTTTGCCCAATCCACCAATCCACTAGTAGCTACTGCACTTGTAGGTGAGTCACAGGCTACGAGCTCGCAGAAATGTGTAAGTCCATCCTTCAGGACAAGTCGATATCTGCATTTGCCCACACTGTCGCCAAGATACAGAAAATCCCAATGCAACATCTCATTCCGCTTGGTTGCATTGTATGTTGGCCCCCATGGTCGTGATATCACGTTGCCACCCTTCACGTGTTTGCACAGTAGGCAACGCTATAGAAACTGTCGGCAGTGCTGCTCCAAACTACCGATCAAGAAAATGCTCTTGATGGTTGTCAGCATGGCGTCCAGGCCACGGTGGCCTTGGCTTCCACAGTGAGCTACGATTAGGATGCGCTGCCGTAGTTCTTTAGCCGAGTCTGGGATCCAGAATCTGCCCTCAACAGACATTATATCATCGTCGTCAACGTCTACGACTTCTGGTGCACTTCGCTTGTTTCTCTGCTGCAGTTGCTTCAACTCGTCCAGCGTAGGAAAAACAAAATCACCTTGCCGCGGTCTAAGCTCGTCAAGCTGGTTGTTGGTTGCATCTTCAATGCGTTGTTGGTTACGAGTCATGAACTTGCACTTCACGTGTAACCCCACCTCTACCGAAGACGAGGAACCCCAGCGAGACAAAGGTCTGCCCAGACGCTAGCTTCGCCATCGATATGCTCAATACAGTACGGCAGGCCGGTGAGAGACAAAGCCCACCGCTGAAGCTTCCCCCGGATGTGACGTTTGACTTCGTGCGTCGGTGAGAACACGTACAACAAGTTTTTGTGGTCGCAAAAGAGTCGAAATCCAGTCGGGCGGATGAGAAGATGGCCGAGGTTGCGTGCAGCCCAAATGATAGGGTAGGCTTCCTTCTCAATAACGCTCCACCGGCGTTCGGTCGTATCGAATATTCCACTCTTACATACCAGCAACTGGTGGTGCTGTTCGTGTGCCGGCAGGTCAGAGTCCCAAGTGTCCACCTGTGTCACAACGAGACCCCATCCAAGGTCACTCGCATCCGTAAACACGGAGACTATGGTCGAGGACTACGGGAAATGCAGCAGTTGTGACGAACCAAGAAGGTTCTTTGCCGTCGCGAACATACCTTCCTCGTCGGACGTCCACGTCAAGGCAACACCGGCTGCCAGCTTCTTAGTGCGTCCACTGACGCTCAGTATTGCCTCCAGTTTGTCGTGTAGTGGACGCATGACCCGGGCGAAATCCACGAGAGTATCCCTCATCCACCCTGCAGCACATAGGAATTGCTGTAGATCAGCAGCCGTAGCTGGCAGTGGAAGCGCCCGAAGAGCGCTGATACGCTCTGGGTCGTGGCGGATACCGGCGCCACTGAATACACGTCCACACCATCGGATCTCCTTTTTGAACAGACAGCTTTTACTCACACTGAGTTTCAAACGGTGGACACGACAGAGCTAAACAAAACTGACGTAGTGCTGTGATAAATGTTGCTGGGTCCTTTGCGTAGACTAGAATGTCGTCGATCCATACCAGCAGGTGGGCATACAACATCTCAGCGAACACAGTCTGCATCTCATTCTGAAAGTGTGTGGCTGAGTCACTTGCCCCTTGCGGAACGCGTCCTGGTGTCCAAACAGTATCGGTAGTAACGAAACTCATCAACTCTTGGCTATCAGGATGGAGAGGGAGCTGCCAAAATCCCTTTGGCATATCGAAATCCGCAAAACCGTACGCTTCCTCAGCTTCGCTCGCTGATCCGTCACATCCTCTGCCGATCCTGCTATCGGCACAGTAGGTGAATTAACCGGACGATAATCGATCGTCATCCGGAACTCACCGGGTACTTTGGGTTTGGCCACAGGTACTGCTGCACAGGCCCAGTGGCTCTGGTTGTTCTGCCGGATAACCCCCATCAGCTCTAGCCGCTTCGTATACTCCCGAAGGAAATTGCGCTGTGCCGGAGCATATCGGCGCGAGCGGGCACGGAAGGGTTTAGCTCCTTCAACAAGCTTGATTCGCAGTGGTGCAATGTCAGCAGGAGGATCGGCTCCAAGATCAATCCTAAAGATGTCTTCGTACGCCAATAATGTCTCGGAGGAACGACATGTATCCCTGGTCGAAACCGCTGTTGCCGGCTGCAACCACCATGTCTTCAAGCTTCTCACGAATGTCAGCGACAGACAGATCCGCATCTGGACATTCCTCTTCTTCAAACGGGTCGACATCTTCCGGAAGAGCACTACCGGCAAGTTGTTCTAGTTGATGGTTGACATCAATACCCAGTGATACTAATGTATCGTTGCCAAGGAGGAAATCGGACTCATTTCCTTCCATTACCAGACATGTGACCTCTTGCAGGCGGACAGTGCCGGTGGCGGTCTGAAGAACGATGTTGAGCGTCACGGAGTCGCGACAGACCACCGTTGACCCCCCTGCTACTATTGCATCAACCGGTGTCGGTAATGGTTGTACCTTTACACCACTCCCCAGAGCTACCAACTCTTCAACCGCAGTACGTGGTATTACCGTCGAGTCGGAACCAGAGTCGGCGCAATATGCTAATACAATCAACTCATTCACCATGACTTCGCCTGGTTGGGGTGCAGTGCGAACCATCTTCACACGTGACCTGTCCTTCACTTCTTTCATTCTGTCCACTGCTCGACTTTTATCTTCAGCCGTCGCAGTCGGACAGTCCCGAAGCCAGTGAGAGCCTTGGCAGTGCCAGCAACCAGTCTTCGGAGGCGTTGAGTCCGTTCGTTGAGGTTGTGCAGTATTCGGCTTCATATTGAAACGCTGGGCTCCATTGACCCGTTGCTCTGCTCTGCCAGGCCTGGTCTTCGGCTCGACCTGACTGGATTTGCGGCTGGAGGCAGAATTTACCTTCTGCTCCATCGCCAGCAAATGATACTTGTGCTGTGCCCTTGCCTTCTCCTTAATGATATTGAAGAGCATGAAATCGTTTTTCTTGGCCTCTCTACATTCGTACTTGCAGTGATGTGGTGTAGTGATTTCTCCGTGGTTGCGGATTATCACCCGTCGACAAAGACGTGACACCGCCCAAGATGTTCAAGCGACGAACCCTCGGTCAGGTGATGTACGGAGACGCCAAGGTGCCAGGGACTCGACGGCGTCACCTCCGAACGTTCAACGAGTATTGGATACGGGCATATGTCACTGAATCCAGGCTGTCCTTATTATTAATAATGGACTGGCCGGATTCGCATTCAGCGGACCATCTACGGTACGAACCCTCAGTGGCGGTTGGGATGAGTTCGCAGAAGACTCAGCGATCCTTGGAAGGCACTTTCACCGTCTGGGACAGGGCGCGGACCGTTAAAGATGCTCATGCGACAGTGCAGACGACGCTTGGCATGCAAGAAGATCCATAACGGATCATTGTTCACTTGATATTTGTATACTTGATTAGGACTTCTTATTAGGAATAGACCCGAAAGGGTAAGCTTAAATACAGAACAGAATTTCCACTCAAGCACACAGAGCGACGTCCGGCTTCAAGGTAAGCGTCAGGTCAAGCTTGTTTGAGTGTGTTATGCCTGTCGGTGAACTCGAAGCTCTGTAGCGAGGGTTCATCCGGCAAGGCCAAGAGACTTTGTGTATTGGCCGATTATTATCGGGAGGTTTTACGTGACGGCTTATTGTTGCCTATTTGCACGACTGGGAGTGCTTGAATTGCCTCCCTTTTATTTCTTCCAGCCGAGTGTTGAACACTCGGTGATCTCGTAAAAGGCTTACCCGTGCCTGGTACCCTTCCGCTATTGGGACCACGAGGATTCAAAACACCTGCTAGCTTTGCTCGTGCTAGTAGCGTGTTCTTATTTTACTGGTTGGCCTATATAAGTAGTTTACAAGGTCCAGTTTGTCCCGGTGCAAGGGCAGAACTGGGGTCTTCAGGTCCGCCCGAACGATCGTTTACTATCCTAGTAGACGTATTGTTGTGGGAACATCCTAACTACATCTGTAGCTTGAGTTCACGTGGGATTTCCAACACCACAGTGACGTCTAACATCGTCACGGACCATTCTCGGTTCGAGGTTGTCGATCAAAATACTGCAGCGCATTTTCATACGTTCGGCAAATCCCTGTGCTTCAGGGTTTCCGACACCGAGAATCTTCTCCAGCCCATTATTCTCTATAATGGTGGCGAAATCTCGATAATACGTCAGCACCCGAGCGTCAATATCATCCTCAGCGAGGTTGATCTTCAACTTCCTCTTGAAGAGCTCGTCAAGATCAGGTATTTGCTCATTCTTCACGGTGCCGATACGTTGGTTGATCAGTATGAGGATCTCCTCATTACTAACGTCGTCAACTGCCTTCCGCAGCTCGTAGAGACAGATCACCTCCAGCAACTTCCGGTGAATCGACGATTTTACGGGCTTCATCGCAGTCTCGGGTCGCTCCTTGCTCTCGAGACAACGCTGTCAGATGGTCTCTTCGTACTGGTCACGTGCTTGCTTCCACTTGACCAACGCGTTGTGGCTCCAATCTTCAAGCCAAGGTGCCTTGATAAACTCGAAAACTGGTTGGTGCGCCGAATGCATCACCGCGTCGCCATCCGCTTCATATTGCTGTGCGCTGCTTGCCATGCTAGCGGTCCCTGAGGACTAAAGTATACTTTGTGGTAGTTTTCGCTTTGCTGGGAATGCTAGTGTGCTATTGCTTGCAAGTTTAGAAGTGAGCTTCCTTTGGCTAGACTCCTATCGCTGTGTCCACTAGATTACCTACTCGTATTGTAGGCAACCGTCTTGAAACAGCCTTGAGCGTCGAGCACCAATAATGCAGTAGCTGCAACTTGATAGGCATGATGTCCTTCGAGATGGTGTTCTTGATTCCAGATAGTATGCATGCCATTACTGCATGCCACGCAAATACCTACAGCATCCTACTTAATATCATCATATGATTCTGGAGGTTCGAACCTCATGTCAGGTTTGAACAAGCAAAATGATACTTACGAGCCTAAGTACGAATCGCGATTGAAGCACTCTAAACGAAAGCAAGGCATCTCCTCTACCTCTTGAGCCCTTCTAAGCTACACATGCTTCAAACTGAAGAAGTTGCGGTCGCTCAAAAAATTTATCTCCATTAATGGGCCCTCGAAATGACGATACATTTAGGAGTGTTGTGAGCTCAATATTTTTTTCAGTTTTATGAGATTTAAGTGTTATTTAAAAGCCCTTGTCAAAATCAATTGAATAAGGGTAGTTTTACAGGTTTTTATAGAAGTTTACACCTAATGTATCAGCTCCGGTTAGGTGCGAAAATCAATTGGCCAACTGCAAGCTCGATTATTTCGATAACTCTACAGTTCGTTAGTATCATTTTGTTTGACGCTGTCTCATACGCGTACCATGTTTGTATTATGTGAGACCTGAGTGAAAATTCACTGCCTACATGTAGACCGTCCGGCACCACGAGCAACCATGCCCGCGATTGTCCCTAGTATAATTTCGTGACTGTCCATCGGCAGCGACAGTTTGAAGAATAATAACTCTCAAGGGGCGACTACACTTCTTTTCTCTCTTTTCTCGGTGGGGTATGTTAGTGTCAATTACCCTAGCCTAGTGGCTACACACGACTGCCTATTTTCTAAAAGACATACGCTTCTGTCCATCTGTCCTGTAGGACGAACACCTCATTTCGTCTGCCGTCTTCGACGAGCAGAGCACGTCGGACCCAGTGCCCCTTCAGAACTGCCCACCCCGGAGTCTTAAGACATTTTTGCTGTGAGTGGAGCTCACAGCCAACTTTTTTTTTATCAGTGAGCGTTACTCCACGAGCGTAATGGCGTTTGAGTAAGGGCTTCACATCTTGACGATTGTATGACTAGGTGCCTCGGCGGTCACTCCGCGAGCTAAAGGGTTGCTTCGTGCGTTGTGGCGTCTGGTCCGCGCACTTCAGCGACATGTTTGCTCGGAGTCTTGGGTGTCCTACCACGGGCTGTAGTGGGTCGTCATGCGAGGGGACGTCTGTCCTCCTGCCCACCGGTTGCCCTCCACGCCCTTCCACGTGAAACAATACCTTGACTTTCTAAAGGGGACAACCACCCGATGGAGTGTAAAAGCGCAAGACTGAAGGTATTTTGTAGAGCGTAATCGTGGTGAAGCAAAAAGAGCCTGAAGAACAGAAGTGGAAGGAGAAAGAGGGTTATCGAGTTCAAGGTTAGGAAGCTGGGCCTGGAGACTGGGGGGAAGGGTACTGGAGAAAAGCGCGTATCCTCCATGCTTTCTCGAGCGCAAAGCAAGCTTCAGCAAAGGGCACTGGTCGATCACCACTTGGAGACCTGGATATGCTTATCACATAGAGACTTACACAGTATACTATATGAGAAACAAGTCAAGCCGTCGCCGAGATTAATGACTTTGAGATTGTCAGTAGCTGAGCCATTGCAGCGGTAGCTGGTCAAAGTGCAATCGCTCTGGTGAAGAACGCTGCATTTGACGCGATGGAGGATACTCGAATTGTATGTCAAGAGCAACACGGCTTCAAAGCGCAGAAAACTGGAACAACTTAAGCTCACTGCTCACCGAGCAGTTAGAATCGGATTGTGATATGGCTGCAATCTGCACTGGATTCAGCTGAAACGTGTATTAAAGCAGTTGTTTATTCCACTTCACGAAAACAAGGCCAATTTTAAGCACTAAGGGATATAGCACCATAGAGTCTGGTGAATGTATGACAATACCTAACGGTCTGTTTATGTATCGACTGCTAGTTGTACTTGACCTACTGTGTGCCCCCTACTTCGACGCACACGTTAGCACACGAGGCCTATGGTGTGTCTCACTTAGATTAACTATTATTGCGTCGAAAAGTAAAGATTTACTTAAATAAAGGAAAGCAAAGCCGATTTACCGTCAAATTAAGAAATGTTTATTCGTAGATAGCGAGCCCGCAGCGGGGCTGCCGTAGCTTTAGCGTCAGAGGAAGACGTTCGACTCAAAGAGTCTCTAATACTAAGTTCCTTATCCAAAGGACACTTACAGCCCAAGACCAGGGCTCAAAGTTAACACCTTAACTTTTATGCTTCAAAACCAGAAGTGTTTTATTTACTATTATTGCGGCCAAGCCGCCTAGGGGTAAATGTATCTGTTTAACTATCTAGCATAGTTAAACCTAATCAAATGCATAACGTGTGGCTTTCGGCCAACGTACTGAGAGACCTTGTTAACTCTCCAACTTATGTACTGAGAGTTTGTTAACTCTCCGGGTACTTCGTACCCCTGTGTGTTCCACACCATGTAACCCCGTTACACTCTCCCCCACTAAGATGAGAACATTCCGTTCTCGAAACTTTCCTCAGCGAGGTCACGTCTTGTTAAGACGGCGGAGGTTGCTACACCTCACCCCAGCGTTGTACAGCTCCGTGAGCTCACAAACGCCTACGCATCATTGATGCCCAACTTCTCGTCGTCGGCCCACGGCCCAATGTTTCAAGCGCAGCGCGCATCTTGCTCTCAAGCGGTCTCAGACCTACGCTCGCGCTCCGCGCCTACTCCAACAGTTTCAACCCGCTTAGAGCAATGCTCTTGACTCATTCGAGTCGTCAACAACAGCTCAGCGGTTGAACACTCGCTTCACAAGCGATAGGTCGGTGGTTCGAACCCACCAGGGCACAGCTCTCTCGTTCCATGAACGATTGTTCATGCTTGGACAAGCTTAAGGGCATCACCCTTTTAGCTCAATGGTTGAGCGCTGGCTTTGAGAGCCACAGGTCGGTGGTTCGAACCCACCAGGGCACTGCCCTCTCGTTACATGAACGATTGTCCACGCTTGGACAAGCTTAAGGGCAATCTTCTTTTAGCTCAGTGGTCGAGCGCTGGCTTTGGAAGCCACAGGTCGGTGGTTCGAACCCACCAGGGCACAGCCCTCTCGTTCCATGAACTGCTGTCCTTGAAAAAACAAGCTTAAGAGCAACGCTCTTTCAGCTC